AACTTTGAAATGATGGGTAAATAAACGTGGAAGTTAGATTGTGTGATAAACTTCTGTTTTATTGTTGTTATAATTATGTTAAAAGTGCATTTATGTACGTAGTGTAAAGGTGCTCCGGTGAATTAGATATCGATAATCTGGTATTCCAATAAATATCGTTATCGTTATTACCACATGTACACAGGAATCTTTTAGTGTAACTTGCGGCGAACCAATCAAAAACTCGATATTACATTTAGCAATAATCACACCCGCATTTGTCACAATCGTGCTATAGTCACAAAATGTACTGTTTCAAAATTTCTAATACATGTAATTTTTTGCCCGCAATAATCACATATTACATGTACATGTATATTAAATTCCGTAATAGTCACTATCACATACAATCATGGATCCGACATATACATGTATATATATCAAATTCACGGTATGATATGCAATAAGGGTCGACAGTAATGTAAAACTATTCAAATTAAAATTTTCTTTAATGTTACAAGATTTCCAGCATGACATCCTCCAATTAAAGATTCGTAAATATAATAATGAAACCAAACTATTTCCGCTGCAATAATTATCACTATAAAAGAAAAATGAAACAAAGTGACCCTTCGAGCCTGTCAGACAGTCAATATGTTCAAAAAACCAGTCGTTCTATCGAAAGTTTAAACAGATTACGATGTTTTGGTGTGCACATCATGGAAAGAGTAGCTTGTTGGAGACCATTTCGGTGTACAGGTACAAAAGCATGTAATTTTATTGAAAGTATTTATATTATAACAAGTCAAAATTGAATAATGGAATTCCATCTTTTATATCAAACGCAATTAGGGATGCTATAAATTCCTTCCCTCTGGTGCGGCAAGTCTACGGACACATGCCAATTCACGTGATATTACCCGTATGGATGTGAACATGTGACATTTCACGTGTGATAACATAGAATCGTGTTCAACAAAATTAGAAAATCGTCTAACGGAACAAAAATGTTTTTTGGGGTTGTGTTCGCATGGGAAAAACCAAGCAAACAATCATCAATTGTAAGCTCTTGTTTGCATAGTGATTTATTGTTAATCAGTAGAAAAAAATGGATTGAACGTTAAAGAGATTTTTTATTAATCAGATCGTTTATGTAAATCGTGATTTAAATAAATAAAGTTCTTTTATTACAAAAATTATACCTACCTGCCTAAACGTTCCTATTAAATTCGGTTACCTGAATATTCACAGAAATTCGAACGGTCTTCAGATTACGCGGTATATCAACTATAAACGATTCCAACATTCATCATTTGTTAATAAATGATTTAATTACATGTCACTTGTTGTAAAATCGCATATCGAGCCTCTCTTTATACCTGTCAGTAGGACAGTACATAAGGCTTTATTGGTCTTGATTAAAACTCATTGACTCATATAAGTGACGGAACCTATCATGAATCCTTAGAATCCTTCAAAGATCAGCGGCTAAAGCTAATGGATTTGCTTTCTCAAGAAAAGGATAGCAATCTTATTGGACGCAAAGACAATTACCTTGGGTGGAGAATGGTGCAACAACTGGAACATAACTGAGAAACCCTGAAAGAGAAAAAGAAATACTAAATGAAACTGCCCTGTATATCTTAGAGCTATTGCAACAAAATATCACTCGACTATGGATGTTCTGAATACTGAGATAATGTGAATCGTTACAAAGACTGAACATAATTTATTAGTATTTTTTGATGACGATAACAATTTACATACAGTCGACTCGATATAACAACCATGCAGATCCTATTGTAAACAATATAAATTCAATAGAATCTGCATGGTCGTTATATCGAGAGTCGAATGTAATACGAACAATAGTACATGTATCACTTGAATTAGATTTAATGCAATTTTATCGTTATCATAATTCAAATTTATGAATTTAACTGACCTTTTCGCCAAAGGTAACTTTGACTCGGTTGGTTTGAACGCTGCCTATTGATGTCTTTCTGGGTAACAAGTGTCGCGTGTTCGACTCCGAGTGCTGCCTATGTACACTTCCAGAAATTGATGTCGCGTGTTCAAGCCCTGATTTTATTTTGTTCGTAATAGGGATCGATATCATTTTAAAAGGATAGCGATAGATTTGTTTTTAAATTCAAGTAATTTCATCCTATATACATGTATTTTTTTATAGTAACCTCATTGCTTTCCAATCTCTAACGCTAAGTAATAATAGTGTTAATCCAGTTTTTTTATGGTTTTATCTTTGTATGTATTAAAAGCTTTTGTATTTCATCAACTTTGTGCTTTATAAGTCAAAAACATTAAGTAGAAAATATTTTACAAGCATGAAAACAAAGTAACACTAATTTGTTTTGGTTGCTGTATTTAGTTTTTAAGTTCGTTTTGTCTTCCTGCTGGAATATATATTCGTTATCTCACAATTTAGACTATACAAAGGTGACACACACAAAGACCCTGCATTGTTGCTTTTCTTCACCAAAGCAAAATCTGTTTCCTGTGTTTACTATGCGTCACCGATGATTCTGAAAGCAAGTCAATTCCACAGTCACAAGAGCCTTTGGTTCGACAGTTAAAGGAACTATTTGATGCACTCAAGCTCTTTCTGAGAGATTATGTATCGTGAGAGAAATAATCTAACAACAAATGGCATATCGATCACTACAACACGTACAATATCGATATGTACACGTACAAATATCACCATCACTATTCATATAATATAAATATTTATTGTATACATGTACACATTCAATTTTAATAACAGTTAATATGCCGATATTACTACTTTTGGTGTCAATTTAACCCTAAGCATTAGTGAAAATATTTCAATAGTTATTAGTATTATGTTTGAGCAGAGTTAAAAATCAATCCATGCTGATGCGTTAAAATCTATTCAGTATAAGAATGGTGGTTAAATACATGAACAAATAGAATGTAGGAATCAATAAATATTTATTGTTATTACATATATACCGAGATTATAATCTTTACAAGAGCATCCTTTTTATTTTGTTTGACGACAGTATCTATTTTTCTCCTTGGACTTATTCTTGCCGCAACATGACTTAGATTATTCTGACTTTTCCTTTCACTTTCATTTTCGCTCCCACATCATAAGTATCAATAGTCTCCCAAATGTCAATATATCATCGATATCCATAATTCATCGTCAACTTATCGTTATGATATCATTCATATTCATAAATGATATTCTCTCATCGAATCATAAACTTCGTGTCTCACCAATTGATAATGTTTCTTCAGGATTTGCCGCACAAGCCTTTATTAGTTGCTCCTTTTTACTTTCTAAACAACAAATATTTCACAACAAAAATCAATATTCAATTGCCTTTGTTTACAAAGACATAAATTAATTAATTAGTTCCTCAGCAGCTGTTCTGTTTCCGGAATAGGATCCCAACATTTTTCAATGATAATTTGCACCATCTGGAAAATTGGCTGGTATCTTAGGTCGTATCCCTTATATATATCACATACAAGATTCACCCGTTACAATTCGTGCCCAATCATTCCAAAACTGTAAATATCTGCTGCTTTATTGTGTGACTTCCCATTTAGCACATCTGGGTTCATGTAAGAAAGAACTGTGTAAATTTGTTGATTCGATCGGTCCAGTAAACATTCCCAGCTAGTGATACAGGCCAACCTCAGTCCAAATGGTCGGGCTGGTGGGCGGGCTGAGTCAGCCGCGTCGATATGATTAGGTTTAGGTTTAGGATTTTGTAAAAACCAGTCAAATAATACTATAGTTTCAAAAACAAGTGTCTCATTAATTTCATTGCAAAAAGCATAACGGTAAGAATACTTTCAAATTTGAGTGATTTTCATTGTTCTTCACATTATTAGTTCCTAAATCACGTAAATTTTCCATTTGTGGTTTGAAAATCAAAATTCGTAAAAATCAAACTTGTTCAAACCCGTGAATTAATCTTAACTAAGAATAATTTTTAGATACCGTATTTTTCGGCAATTAGTACCCCGGGTCTCTTACATTCTAGGGGCTCAAAAATTGATTAGTACCCACCGGGTACTTTGTGAAGAGAAGGGTATATTATACGGGAATACTTAACATGGAAGTCGTAATTTTGGCCAGGGTTTTCTAAATCAACTAATAACAATGCATTAATTTTTGATCAACTCGGCAAAACAAATCCGGCACAAGAAAATTAAAAAGGCGAATCCTGTGAAAAATACGGAAAACGAATGGGTAAACCTGACTCGAAGCACTAATAAAAACTGTCGGGAAGACAATTATATATAACCTTTACTCCAGCTCTAAACCTAACCCTAACCCTAACGATAAAATTAACTTTTAATATCCTCAACCAATCATAAACCTGGGGGAAAATACATACTGTAGGGGTGTGTAGTAACTGTACCGATTGTCAAAAAAAAACAATAACTTCAATGAATGTTTCAAATATCACAAACGAATTTATAAAGCTGAATGCTCTAGCGAAAATAAAGAAATTGAGAATCTAATAAATGAATGCAATAAAGTTAGTAAATATTTTGAATGGATTCCTTTTGAAAGATTTACCGATGCAAAAGGTGGTTTTGGAACAATTCATAAAGCAAATTGGTTGGACGGATCAATAGACCAGTGGGATCATAAAGAAATTAAATCTAAACGATATGGAAAATGCGAAATTGTATTGAAATCATTACACAATTCAAAGAAAATTACATAGAGTTTATAAACGAGGTAAGAATAACCAATTTAAAGTGTATGCATGAGATGATTTTTGTTTCTAATACAATTAAGTTTTTAAAACCAGATTCTGACTGCTTTGAAGTGCACTGTGTGATATGTTATTATGGAATAACTAAAAACCCAGATACAAATGAATCCTTGATAGTAATGACTTATGCGAAAGATGGCGATCTTCGCAAATATATTAATTCCTGCTATCGCTATGAGGCATTAACTTTGGTAGAAAAATTAAAAGATTTGATTGATATTATCGCAAGTTTGCGTCGAACCACCATAAGCGATTTGTACATCGTGATCTTCACCCTGGAAACATATTATTACATAGAATTGCTCAGATTGCTGAGTTTGGACTTACTGGTCCAGTAGATATAAACAAAGCTAATCGAGAAATTTACGGAGTATTCCCTTATATTAGTCCAGAGGTACTAAATGGAAAGCCATACACTATAGCTGCAGATGTTTATAGTTTTGGGATGATTCTGTACGAGATTGCCACCGGTGAACGTCCATTTGGTGAACGAAGTCATGATATAAATCTTGTAATTAGCATTCATAAAGCAGAACGACCTAAGATACCAGAAACTATTCCCAGATGGTGCAAATTTATTATTGAAAAATGTTGGGGTCATATTCCAAAAAACAGACCAACTGCTGAGGAACTTTACGACTTCATCTACTCTTTTCACGATCAATTCAGTTTTGTGGAAACTGAATGTTATGCATTTTCAGTACTACAGCTCCTTAGAATATCCAAAAACACATGAAGAAATTAAAGAGTGTCTTAATTAGAAACGCAGAATGGAAAGGACTTGATGAGGAGATGAAATTGCAAAAAATTTATTCATACAAATATAAACAAAAAACAAAAACACCACCCAAATGCTGTTTACACCAGTCGAATCTTTACTATAAAATCAATTTCCATTCCAACTGATACTGATACAGCTACAGGTACAGTACTTTCTATTTGAAATATAAATCATATAAATCATATTGGTATTTCATATTGATTGCAACATTTATTTTGGATATTAAGGTTCTACAAGTGTCAGTTTGTTTGTTCCAAACGAAGGTAAAATTGCATTTAATACTATTTTTTTCATCAATTTCTTTAATTCATTATTATTTTTCTTTGGTGTGTAAAAAGATTCCAATTTTAGTATTCCACATGAAGTCGAAGAAAAAGAAAGGATTTTAATAGCAGCATTGTAAAGATCTACAAAATCAAAAGGTTGATATCTTTGCAAAAAATAACCACAGATTCATGACGAATCATTTTCATCAAAGTAAACAACATAAAAAGAGAAAATGATGACTACTTTAGTTTGCCCTTTATAAATTAAGTCGACAATAATAATCAGTATATCTTTTTAATCTAAATGAGATTTTAAAGCAGTTTCTATTTTTATCAACTTTTTGTATTGAAGCATATATTTATCGTTATATTTATTTCTTTATG